TCCTCCTCCTCCTCCTCCTCCTCCTCCTCCTCCTCCTCCTCCTCCTCGCCACAAACCCCACTCCCTTCTAGCACTGATGATGCTTCCTAGTTGGGTAACGAAACATCTGCACGAAAACCACCAAGCTCAGCGAGCACCAAGGACTCCACCATGAATATTCAGCCTTGTTGAAGGCAACACCCAGTTCCACGCCCAGGCACTGTGGCAGCTATGTCAATCTTTCCAGGGCCACATTAAAACCTTCGGGCACAACCCACAAACAGGAATGTGCAGCCATTGCCCGAAGGGTCACGGGGGTCTCGGGAACCCCTGCTGAGAGGTGGGCTCGCCTAGTTCCTTTTTCCTGTGTCCGTCCCTGGGCAGGCACCCCCCTCACTTTATTTCACATCTTCTCACCTACGAGGCGAAGATGGATCCCCAACCGGCTCTCGTACTTGTCATGGATGTCTCCCGAGAACTCAACCCGGCAGAAGTAGCGGTTGGTGTCATTCCAGTTCAGGTTCTCGATTTGGAGCGAGAGGTTGTTCTGTCTCGGGTTGCCCAGGAGCTTGTACCGGTTCTTCAAGCCAACCGTAACCCTGCAGATATCACTTGAGCTTTGGGTGATGCACTTGAACACCACCGACCCGTCGAACGGCTCCCTCACGCGCCAAATGGTGGTCAGGGCCTTGTCGTACATCTTGTGGGGATGCGTGAACGTGCAGGGCAGGGCCACGGACTTGCCCACCTCACCCACGACCTCCGATGGGACGTGCATGGACCACCCTTTGGAAGACGCGCCTTAGGAGCAAAAGCAGGTCGTCAGGCAGGGCTTCCGTTGCCAAAAGAAAACGGGGCTTTTTGGTACACCGTGCAATGCTCCGCTTAAACTGCCTAGGGGCGGTTCATTGGATTTCTAGTTCATTCGCTTTTTTTAAACAACAACAGCAACAACTACGACAACTACAACAAAGTCGTAGGGCAGAGTTGAGAAAAACATCAGCTGCAGATCTTCTGTGATATTGTGATAAAGCAGGGGTGTCCAAGCTTGGCAACTTTAGGTCTTGTGGACTTGTCTTTAGGTTTTGTGGACAACTCCCAGAATTCCTCTGTTTGTCTGCCTGACTGCCTATCTACCAATCATCTCTCTCTCCTCCCCTCTCTCTCCTCTCCCTCCCCCTCTCCCTCCCTCCCCCCCTCTACCTACCAACCTACCATCTATCATTTATCGTCTCTCTTTCTCTCTCACACACACATACACATTTATATCTATCTATCATATATTTATCTATCATGTATCCTCTCTCTCTCTCTCACACACACACACATCTATCTATCTATCTATCTATCTATCTATCTATCTATCTATCTATCTATCATCTATCTATCTATCTCTATCCTATTTATCCTATCTATCTATCCTATCATCTATCTATCTATCTATCTATCTATCTATCTATCTATCTATCTATCTATCTATCTATCTATCTATCTATCATCTATCTATCTATCTATCTATCTATCTATCTATCTATC